GATCGCGTTCCCGTTCCGCGCTCCCGGCTCAGCCCCCGCGGCCCTCTCGCGCCTCTCCCCGCGCCGTGACGTCACGGGCGCATGACGTCAGCGCCGCGCGGCGTGCGGGCGGCGGCGGCAGCGGTTGAGGGGCGGCCATGGCGCTGCCGCTGCTGCCCGGCTACTCCCTCCGCCGCAACGTGAGTGCCCGCCGGGGCAGCCTCCTGCCCGCCCTCTGCCCGCCCGCCTGCCCTGCCCCGGGCCGGGGCTGCCGCGGGGGCCGTGCCGGAGCGATCCCGGCGGTGGCGGGGCCGTTGTGCCGCTCCCGGCCCGGCAGGTGCAGGCGAGGCGCCCCCGGGTGCGCTGAGCTCCCCCGGCCTCAGCGGCGGGGCCAGGGCGCTGAGCGGCAGGACGGGCGGAGCTGCGGCTAAAGCTGCGCCGGGGAGGTTCAGGCTGGGCATCAGGAGKGATTTATTCCCGTGAAGGGTTGTTAAACACTCGAATGAGCTGCCCAGAGAGGCAGCGGAGTYACCGTCCCCTGAGGTGTTTAAGGAAAGGCTGGACGTGGCACTCAGTGCCCTGGTCTGGTTGACACGGTGGGGATCGGGCAGTGGTTGGACTCGACGATTTCAGAGGTCTTTCCCAACCTCACTGTGATCTGGCAGCTCCTGTGGGGCAGTCTGAGCTCTTGTATCTCTAACAGAAGAAAACGGAGAGGCAGACGCCCTCTACATAAACCAAAAAGGCTTTGCAGAGGGGGCAGTGACAGGGRTGCTGATGTGCTGTTTCAGCGTTGCCAATACTATTCATGCAGACTAAATAAGATGATATTTTTATCATAGCAAACAAAAGAGAAGGCTGCCATCACTGCTTCCAACTTTTTCATGAAGGATAGATAGGGATTTGCTGAACACCGTCTGTATCGTGAAGCGGTGCAAGGGGTAAGGGAGGATTCAAGCAGGGCACTCTAGCTGGTGCCTTCAGCAGGCAAATGAAACAATGTAGCATTCTTAGTAATCTTGAAATATCTGGAAGGGAATCTCTCATTTTCACATGTGCTGTGGCCACGGTTGCCCAGAGAAGCTGTCAATAGCACATTTCTGGAAGTGTTCAAGGCCAGGTTGGGTGCACCCTGGTCTAGTGGAAGGTGTCCCTAACCAGGAAAGGGGGTTGGAACTGAATGATCTTTAAGGTCCCTTCCAACCCACGCCATTCTGTGATTCTGTGATAGACACAATGCAGGTAGACACAATCAAAGCTGCCCAGGTGCTGTACAGGGAGTATGAAATTGTGTATAAATAYGTGTACTCCCAGCCTCATTCGGTGTGTCAGCACTGCACAGGTGTGTGCAAACACAGGACCTCTTGCAAGAGCWGTCCAGCCTAGAAACAGTGAGAATTTTTCAGGTGGTTCTTTCCCTGGAAAAAGCAGGATGGTGCTGTTTGAGAAATGAAAAAACCCAAAAAGGTCTGGTGGTGAATACTCAGTCTCTTGGTGAATTGAAGTTTGTATTGTTAAGGGYTGGTTGTGTGTATAACACGTGAGGAGGCTGCTGAGTGGGCAWATAGGCAACACTGGAATTGGTGTGTGCCATTGGTACCTGCTGCCTGGAAGCAYAATAGCTCAGCTCAGTGATATCTGTGGCTTTATTGTTCTCCAAACTTCAATTTAACTKCACATGCTTGGAAAGAGTTGCTAAYGGAGAGCACTGAACACYCMTTGCTGAAGTACATAAAATGAGTTTGTTATGAGAGCTAAAGGTGTGAAAGCTGTCACAAAGTGCCATGAGACAGCATTGTAAAAACATGGTTAGATCCTTATTAAGGCTCCAGATTGCTCTTTTTGTCAGTCCTTGAGGCAGTGGAGCTAATAGTGGCACATCATCTCTGTGAGAGGCTGAGAACAACATATTTAAAGGAAAAAAAAATGTCACTACTGTAGATAAGTTGAAAAGGAAAGTAGTGTTTTCACCTGTTAGGACACTGAGCATCACCATCAACATCTCTTAYTGCACAGAAACAATAGTGGCAAAGCATTCCCTGAAGAAAGATGCATGAGAGATAGGGGATTGCTCTTCCTGTCAGTCCATGGTTTATAATTATGGGTATTAACTCCACTCATCACTGTTCAAGCACCTAGTGAAATCCTCTTGTGTTTGCCCTTAAAACTTCCACCTGCCTCATGTATAGGCCCACAAAAAGCAGTGGAAGAGGARTACATGTGTGTTTGGTCTACCTTGGATGTGTTTGATAAGGTGGCTGGGCTGCCTCCTGAAAATCAGAGCTTTAAGGTAGTGTTCAAGTGTCTTTAAAATCAAAATTACAGTAGTTTGTGTACACATAAGTCCATCCATCAAATAAACCCCCTTCACCTCTCTTAGAAGTCCAAAGATGTCCTGCTCCTTAGCAGCACCTGTGGTTTTTGTTTCTGGATGTTGAGGAGATATAACAATCCATAATTTTTGAGCACATGGTGGAAACACAGCACATAATAGGATTGCTCTGTTACTGCAAGAAAAGGTTTGTGTTTGGAGCTGGACATCCCTTGTGTTAGGGATGGCACTGGTTGGAATATCAGTACTCACTTTATTAGTGTTCCTGCTCTGCCTCCCATTCTCAAAAGCAGCTGCTCCTTCTGACACAGGATTGATGTCCTTGCCTATGTCAGCAGCTAATGAGGAGGGTGAGAAACACATACGTGTGTCAGATTTTCCAAATGCTGGCTGACCACTGTATTTTCTTGCCTGAGGTTTGAAATCCTTTTCAGAGAGGAAATTCCATGCAACGATTCTGCATGACATTTCTTAGAGAATTGGACAATAAGTTTAAAGACCTCAGCGGGAAAACACATCCTTGAAAAACTGCAAAAACTTCTGTAGCAAACTTTAGTGGCACAGTAGAAATTCCATATCTTCCTTTTTAATTGCAGAAGTGTGGAACAGTCCATCTGTGCTACTGTTGCTGTCTCTCTGTTTCCTGCCTGAAATGTTTTCTGCTGCTCTGTAACCCACAGAATGGGACATTAGTTTTTCTTGACAGAGTATTTGCCAATCTCTTTGTGAGTGTCCCTGCTGTCCTTTCTTCTTTCCCTGGCCATCTTTCCTGAGCCTCTTCCACTGCCTCCTGCCCTTCAGCCCTGCTCCACTAGATCTCTCACTGTTCACAACCTCCAAACCCAAATCTTCTGTAGCTGCCGGTCATGGTTGCATTCTGGGCMCTTTCATTTATCCATCTGTGTCTTCTCCCACACACTAAGAGGAGGCTGGAATGACAGAATGGTTTGGGTTAGAAGAGACCTTTAAAGGTCATCCAGTCCAATCCCCCTGCCATGAGCAGAACACCTTCCACTGGATCAGATTACTCAGGGCAACCTGACCTTGGATATTTCCAGGAATGGAATCCACCACCTCTCTGGGCAACCTGTCCCAGTGTTTCACCACCCTCACTGTAAATAGTTTTTTCCTTATATCTAGCCTACATCAGCTTTCTTTTAATTCAAAGCTACAAGCCCTTGTCCTGTTGCAACCAGCTCTGTGAAAAAGTCCTTCCCCTTTATTCTTACAGTCCCCCTTAAAGAAAGGCTCCAAYAAGGTCTCTCTGGGGTCTTCTCTGGGCTGAACAACCCCAACTCTCAGCCTGCCCTTATAKGAGAGGTGCTCCATCCCTCTGCCAATTTTTGTGCCCCCCCCTCTGGACCTGCTCCGATAGATCCATGCCTTTCCTGATCCAGGCTATGGCACTGATGCACCTTGTTTTGTGATGTGTTAGCRTAGCACCAGAATTGCTGGGAACGATGTCTTAGGGTGTTCCTCCTTTACCAGGACCAATTAACCTCTGAACATCCTGAGAGCTGGAGATGATAGAAGAATTGAAAATCACATTAATTTAGCTGGCCCTGTATGTAGCATTTGCATTTATTTCCATCACTTAGSTGAAGCAGCCAGCAGACTGTATCAGCAGCCTAGAATAGTTCAGAAATGCCACAGTTCATCCTGACACAGGGTTTGAGCAGGACATCCACGGTGCAGCTGGTGTTCTCAAGCTGGGAATTACAGATGGAGACGGTACAGAACTGAGTTGCCATTTCTGCCATAGCTCCTGGTGGGACTGAATAAAAATGTGGCTTCTGAGACCCCACTGAGGGCTCTCCCATCACTCCAGCTGCTGTGCTGGGAGATTTTCAGCTGTGCTTGGTTCAGCTGGAATGTGCAGCTCCCTGRGGAGTTTGCTGTGGCTGCATTACAGAGCAAGATGGAGTGAGCACGAGGCAGCGTTTCCCAAGGACTGCAGGGCTCAGTTTGCAAAGCCAAGAGCTGCAGTCAGAGAACCCTGACCTTTGTATTAGTCACTATTGAGTGGATCCTCAGTATTTTTTAGGCTCACAGAAAATGTCCAGCTTTTTTCAGCAGATCCACAGCCTGTTCAGCTGAGCTGCATTAGCACAAGCTCTTTCCCTGCTCTCTAAAAGATTTCTTTTAGAGGTCATTTAATATCACTGTGGAGGTAGCATGATGTTCTGTCACTCTTTTAGGCTGGATGTGGTCTGAGTTCATTAGCTGAAGTTTCCCAAATGAAATTTTTCTCTTTTGTGATCCTCAATTATAACTGATCTTTTTGTTAAACTTTCTGGTTTTGTTGTTGTTCTTGTTTTGGGTTTTTTTTTAAGAAATAACTGTACCGACTTTTAGAAGAGATTGTTTTGTCTATGGATTTAGGTGCTTTTTGGAAGAAGGAGATAGGTAATTCTGTCATTAGGAATCTAAAGAAATCTTCTTGTCAAACCCTAGACACAAATGATTCTTTAACAGAATTGAAGCTGTTTGGTCATGTATTTTTCATATAAAATTCTAAGGTTGTTGTGATTTTAGCCCAAAATTCTGGAAATTTCAGTAGGGTCAAACCTGKATTTGGTTTGACCTTGCCATACTGTAGCTGATAAACTTCAGAAACACATGAACAAGAAATACTTCCAGAAGAAGCTTTGAGGACATTAAAATCTTTCCTTTGCTCAGGAAAACTGCCACTCTCACTGTGCTTTGCTAACTGTGCCTTTCTCCCTAACTTATGCTTTGGTAAGGGAGASAAAATAATTAAATGCTTGCTGTGCCAGAGAGTGGATCTGTTCTGTAGCACCTTCAGTATAAATCAGACGTTTCTGCCTAGAAAATTCCCTTTCAAAATTCATCTTGACTGTAGTTATTGTACATTTGAACCCATAAATGCAGAAAGCTGCCTTCCTTTCTGACTTCTCCCCAGCTCTTTCTCAGCTTACTGAGGAACAAAAATATTGAAAAAAGAAATAGAAGAAGAAAAGGCAGTTCAGTAGCACCCAAAAGGAGAGAGGAGAGACCATCCCAAGTGCAGATGCGTTACAAAGCAGGTGCCAGCCCCTGTCAGTGCCTGGCTATTCCAGATTCCAGGAGAGCACCTGTGCTCACTTCTGGTCAGARAGGTGGGGTGACCACACGAAGATCTGCTCTTGATGCCTAAATGTCAGAGCTCCCGCTGCACAATGGAACAGGACATTTTATATCACAGCTCACAAAACTGTGCTGATATGAAATATTTTATTTTGGGCATTATTCCTGCAGATGTGCCAGGTTTGAGCAATGCTCTGTGGTAGGGGGTCCCATGAGCTCCTAGTCTGCATACTAACATTTCCTTTTATTGATTTTCTCTTTTATTCATTTACTCTTGGTTTTGAATTATATCTTGAGGAGTAGTTTTCCATTTCTTTTGTATTATTCTTTAAATTATGATACTTTCTGCATGCTCTTTTATCCACCTTTGTTCAAAACACTGCTTGTCTTTTAAGCATCTTCATTTGGGGATGTGCTTCCAAAGCCCTGATTGTTTCTATCCCCAGTATGTGAATCTAATCTCATTTGCAATTTTCAAAGGGTGTCAAATAGCTAGCTCAGCTATTTCTAACCTAAGCAAGRGTATAGCCATTGATTATCATGGTATTAAAAATAATCATTTGTAAAAATAGTAAGTATTCTTTTTCATACTGCTGTCCTTGCTAAAGTGATGTGCAAAAGGATTTTAAGCAGGGGTTAAGCTAAAGCAGTGATTGAGCTGCTGGTGTCAGCAGCTCTGTGTCCTGTGCCATTGGATTTGGAGCRCCTGGAGGCAGGTGAACAGTTCAGACTGTGACTCTCATTGTGCAGGAGTTCYTGTGGACCAGTGTTGATTGTTCTGTGCTATGAGGCTGGTTCTTTGCTTTCAGATTCCTGACTTTCATACTGGCAGAATGAAATAACTGCTTGAGTACTTCCAGGTTTTGCTGCTTCACTGCTTGCACTTGTTCCCAGAACTGCTCTGCTGAGTGTGTGTTACATCACCTCAGAACACTCGAATTTGTCATCATGAAAAAGGATTATTTGTACCATTTTTTGATTTATTATTTTAATTTAGAGCTGTCTACACCTTTTTGGGGAGTAGTGGTTTACACATATGCAGGTGATAATCAGTGATGCCCAGTCTTCCAAATAGAGTGGGGAGGCAGTTTTGTCCCCCTACTACTTTACTGACATAGTGCTCTGGTGCTGCTGTGAAAAATTGAAACATTTTGCTGTCCAGCCTGTTCCTCTACCCAGGACCTTTACTGTGCTCACCCATAACATCAGTTCCTCCCACTTCAGTCTCATCTTACCTCATGTTCCCCCAGTCCCAGGCCAAGGCRGGGAGGCACAGCTCTGATGGCCTCTCTCTCCCCTTACTGCATATGCCAGGGTRCAGTTGCCCCGTGGCTCCCCTCTGCCTTCCCACAAAAAGTATTTTGAGGACTTGAGAGAGCAAGAAAGGGAAGAACAGCAGAGTGAGAGGAGCTAACAAATCAGAATTGCTACTTRTGGAAGGAAGCTGAGTTTTCTGTTGGCTGTTCCTATTTTCTTGTCCTCTTCTATGAGACTGATGTGTGGGGTCATTAAGGGATTGCTGCCCAAACCCAGCTCACAGCAGCTGCCTTCGTTGGAGGGAACTGGCCAGCAAAGCAGTCAGCTCTGCTGCTCCTCCTACTGATTAGGAGGGACATTCCCAGGGGCAGGAGGGATATTTATGTGAACCCAGAATCTTTTCTGTGTCACTTGAAGACTGGCTMCAGCCCCAGACAAGAAATTTGAGTGGGCAGGATGGTTTTCTTTGCTGTTGGTTGTTCCTATATTTTTAAGCACTCTATCCTTAATTGCCTGAAAATTCAGTAATGATATAGAGARATCACTACAGAGACCTTTTGAAATACTCCCAGATGGAATGAAAGTCTGCCTTTTGATTCAGATCCAACCTCCCAAAATTCAAGTGTATTCGCTGGCACAGAGGAACTTTGCGCTCGGGGATGCAAGTGTAAATAAGATCTTTGACATGAATAACGAGAGCAGGCTGTTCTCAGAGTGCTGCTGAAGTGTTTCCATTTGTCCTCTGGAGTGCTGTAGGGAAAGATCTTTACCTTTTACAACAGTTCTTGGGGGTGACTTGATTCTTTCTACCAYGTGCCTCAATCCTTGTTGTAGGGAAGGAGTGTGGTGGGCTGGTATCATCTAGTCTCTCAGCCTAGGTAAATTACTGGAATATTATTCCATTTTTGTCTATAAAATGGGCAAATTGATCAGTGTAAAATGTCACTTCACATGTGGSATTCTAGTTATTACAGGTGTTTAGACTCCGTATTAAAAGTAATTATCAAGAAATTTTTGCATGATTAATCCTCCTTGCCTAGATGGGTAGTATTAAGATTTTAAAAACAAACACACAGACTATTTTTTCTCTTTTTCTTCTGAACTTTTGACAGCTTGGGGGAGAAAAGTTCCATAGGTCACAGCTCTTTGGTTATGCCAATGATGTTCCTATGCTGTTTGACGATAAAAGTGGAATAGGAGGTGAACCGCTACCTGGTCAGTTCGTGAAACCTATGAACAGTGTGTTTCCTTCAGGACCGGGAAGTCGTGCTCCTGCTTGGATAGCATTTGACAAGCAGGTATGTAAAAATCCATTTAAAAAAAAAAATTAATAGCTCCAATATGACAGAGTATAAGGATGAAATTCCATTAGTCAGGTATTTCRAAGATTATTTTCTGCATGCAAAAAAAGCTTCTAGGTAGACAAAAAGTGTGGTAGCAKGTATTTTTTCATTATATTCATATGTTTGACAATTAATAAAAACATATATAATGCCWTAGAGCAATATATAAAATTATTTCTGTATTGGGATACGTCTCTTACAGGATGTAACAAAAATGAGGGAGTGGGCAACATCTTCCTTTTTAGTGAAAATGATGATAGAAAAGGAGTTATTTGGCAACCTGGTAAGAATGAATGTAAGGTAAACCCCAGTCAGGAGAAAACGTGCATGGGCASTTGAAAATCGTTAAACTCAGTGGAGTGCTACATGCTTGCAGCACTTATACCATGCATAATGCTTGCCTCAAAGCCTTGTTGACTTCTGCATGATTTGTTCACGTGTAATAGAGTACGTCTGATATGGACGCAGGAATTTAAAATTAATGTTATTTTTTATTTTCTAAGAATGTAGTGACACTTAAAGTTAGAGAGTTATCAAATAATTGTAACCGGTGATGACAAGAATTTTGTAGCACACTATTGTTGCTTTCTGTGATTAAATTCTACTTAGAGATGTTTTATTTCTAAAGCAAAAAGCCCRTAATCAGGGAAGGAAAGTGATCCAGAAAAAGGAATCATTCAGCAGATCGCAGAAATGTTGCATGACTAAATGATTATGGTATTTAAATATTGGGAAGAATGGCTAATCTCATAATTTTTGCATTTAAAGAGTAGTCATGCAGGTAATTGCAGTACAATTACACATTCATCTTTGGCAGACCAGAACTAYAACAAGAAAATGTAAGGCTTGAACAGCTCACATGCTTTTGTTTGGCTTTGCCTCTGAAATCCCTGCTATTGCTCACACAGCAATGTGCTTGGGTATGAACTGTTCCAGTGTGCCCAGGTGTTAAGGCTTCAGCCAGACCTGGACTTACTTTTCCTACTCCCTTCTTGGAACAAGGAGGGGTGTATTGCCTTCTCAGGCCTTGGACCCAAGTTTATGGAATCAAGGGGTTCAGCAGGAGGCAGTGGGACCTTCCACTGAGCATCAGGCACTGGCCTTGGCTGGTGAGAGAAACTTGCTGGCTGTTGGCTGTTCCTGATGTAATCAGAGTCTGCCTCCACAGGGCAGTTCGGGACAGGAGTTTGCAGGTTCAGAATTGGCCTCTGGAGGGCTCATGTGTTTGTATKAATTGCAGATTGTTACAGGGTGCTTACCATCCAGCTAATTAACTTCCCCAGTTAAGAGCCTGGAATGCAGCTCTGTCCTTCAGTGCTGCAGTTTGGAACTCAGCAGAATGGACTGAATGAAAAATGGTTTGAGTAGATGTTTATCTTTTGAAATGTAAGCTGCTTTCTTACCACTTTGGCTTATAACTTTCGACAGTACAAAAGCAATTGGAAGAAGGACAAGCATAAAACATTATTAAGTAGGCTGAGAAATAGTTTTTGTAATTTCATTTACCTAATATGAAGCAGGTGTAAATTTAATTTCTTCTATGATTAAGTACACACACAAGGCCTCCTGGGCTTGAAATGATGTTTGTTATTTGACTACCACAGGTGCTATGGAAACTTTGTGGCACTTTACAAAGTGCCACAGAGTTTAATCAATATTTGTTATTATTGGTTTTCATAGGTAACATTAAATTTTTTAAGGAGTGGGATGGGAACTTTATAGTTTTGTGTTGCAGATGAGACTCGAGTTAGGAAATGTTACATTTTGAGTGTTTTTAAGATTAACTTCACTTCAAAATGAGAAGTAAGTCATCTTTTCTATCCCTTCCCCTTCTCACATTTCCTGAATCATCTGCTTTGATCTGCAAAATTGCAGTTGGTTGCTGCATATATTTCAGTCATACACTAGCATGTTGATAAGGGTATAAAGAGAATAAAATGTGAGTGCAAAAGAATCTGCCCAAACTCCTCAAATGGAATAAACCAGGGCATAAATGTATGCTCAGAGAAAGAAATAAATCCAGTGTATTAAGGGTGTGATTGAGCTTGGAGTTCTGTGCAAACAGACAGCTTTGCCTGGCTGGTGTCTCGTGAGACAACTTKCTCAGAAGAGATCACTGACAAAATTAAGAACAATTACTAATGAAATAGGGCTCTTGAACAGTGTGTTCATCAAATGTCTATATTGTAGTGGAAGTGACAGAACAGAGACAGAAKTTTCCATGTTTCCATTGGTTTCATGGCTTATCCACAGCTGAATGAGGAATGAAATTCTGATCCTTGTCAGCTGAAGCCCAGGATGTTCAGACTGTACCTTGTYTGAACTACCTTCAGATAGTACCTTGTAAGTCCCCTGGGGTGTTCAAGAGATTTATACAGGGCTCCTGGTCATCCCAGAGAAGTAGCTGGAGGCCAGGAAGAATAATTTGATCACTAAAAATGGCACTCTACACCAGTGTTCAAATTAACTGAAAGAGGAAGAGATGAAGGTTGACAGAGTTTGTGTTGTGTCTATTGTATGTCAGATGTTTTTTTCCAGTGTTTTTATGTTTGATACATGCAACAGTGAAATCCACAGTTAAAAAATGTGGACAGGTATTAATTTTTTAACTTATTTTCAAGACTATACATTGTTCAGAAACTCKCATGTTGTACTAATTAAACAAACTATAACTGAGATTTCTAGATTTTGTGTGAAGATCTAATGCCACCAGGTTTAACAGGTAACAGCTATGTCATTGATTATAATCTTTTTTCTCTAATGGTGGAGGATCACAGTGCAGGAGAGTTGATGCCAAAAATGTGTCTGTCATACTGTTTAATGGTTGCTGAAAATTAGTGGGCTCTGAGCCCTTGAAATGATTTCTAGAAACAGAGTTATTCTCACCTTGCCCTTAACCTGCCTGAGAGAAGGGAWTGTGGCAGAGGAGTCTGAGCAGGACATAGGGTGGCTGTTTGTGTGTGTTCCTGGGCAAGCTGCTAGTTCTTTCTCCCCAGATGTAGGAAAGGAGATTGTTTTTGTCTATTAGGTGTTACAAAATTTTTGTCTTCAGTACTCATGGAAGTACTTTTTAATTCCCAAAGGCACATGCAAAAAGAGTGCAGACTATGAGGCAGTGTATTTGGTCATGTACGGATCTCAGCCAGGTTACTGGATTTTAAACATTTTCAACTCATGGTCTGTTAGATGCTTTTTGAAACATAGGGAACAGCTAAATTCTTTTTTTCAATGCTTCATTGAAATGCCTCATGAGCAAGAGTAAAGGTAATTGAATATATTAAATGAAACCAGTGTGAAAAATAAAGTGTAAATTAACMCTGATTTGGCTGACCCAAATGTTTTGAGGGGACAGGATGGAAACCTGTTTTAATTAATGCCTTCCTGGACATACTTACCAGAGCAAGCATCCTGCTAGATAATGCACGAGGAAGTAGATGCATCTTGCATGTTCCCTTAACCTTGGTGTTGGTGGTTGAAAAATGATACCAAGAAGTGCAAAATTTGTTTAATGGTATCTGATCTTGAGCTGGGATCTCCAGGTAGGAGGGCCACTGAGCACCTACCCTGTGAAGGTGGGTTTTTTTTCATTTTTGCTATTACAAGAGGCCATGAAGAGCAGTTGCTATGCTTTGTGAGATTTCCCTACGGGCTGAATTGCAGAATCAGGTGAGTTTTGAAATGCCCATATTGCACAGCTGTAAATGCCTCCTGAAAAAATGTCATTTCTCTCTAATAGTCTTCAGTTCCATTCATTTGAACGCTCACAGGATCTGCTTAAAAAAACCTCCTTCCACTTACCTTGATGGTAAAGCCTTTACTGTCATCACGCACTGTATTTTTTACTAATTCATAGAATAGCAGTCTAAAATTTGCTTCAGTACATAGGCATCTCATTGTGTTATCAGAAATGCTTTGTTTGGAAGATTTTTCAAGCAGCCTGCTGATAGTTTTGTATTTGATTTATTTCTTTACTTTAGAGTTCCATCTCTGCTTAGATGTCATGATAATAAAAATGCCGAATAAAGAATTTTGAATTTATGTATTTTAATGTGGATTTGTGTTCTTACATTTCTGAGAAATAAATCTACCTCCTGAAACCCATACATTTAGTTACTTATAACYTATACAAGTTTATTTGACATATTTTGCAAAAGCGTTGGAGATTTTGCTGCTTTATTTTTATTGTTTTTAATAGGCGTTGTGTTTTGATGCCTATTTTGAAGAAGAAGTGCCTGACAAAAATCAAGAGCTGTATAGAATCAGACATTGTAAAATATTTTACTACCTTGAAGATGATACAATTCAAGTGAGTGAGCCCCACGTGGAAAATAGTGGCATAACTCAAGGTATCTGKTTTTTTTGGTACCCTTTTTTCCCCATTATATCTTTCTTCAGTACAGTCTTGATCCATTCCAAAGGATATGTAATGTGAGTTCTTATGGCTGAAATGGGATGTTAATACAAAGCTATAATTGTCTTTTCTTGTTACAGATCATGATGTGAACTTTTTTATTGTCRTAGTTTCTCAAGGTGTGGGTTTTGTAAAGCTGAATCCTCTCCCGTACTCAAACRTACAATTTTTTCTCTAACACAGTAGTTTGAAATGATATGGTGCTAAGGTCTTTGTCAGTGTTGTGTCACTCCTGCAAAAGCAATTTGAGTTCTAGATCTCTATTCCTGAGCCTGGCTCCTCCCATCTTGGCACTGGCCTGGTGTTCTGTAGCAGCAGCTCTGTAATTGTTCATGAGCTACTGCAGTGTCTGTGCCATTACTGAACGACAGAGTCTTTTGTGACTCTGGCTTTTGGTTCTTTTATGATTAAAGTGCTCTTGGCACAGTAATTCTTCCTTGATGCCTCTTAAGTTAYGAGGCTGCCTTGCCTCAGTGTCACATCCCTGCACTGGGACCAGCCTGAGGACTTCAGGAGGAGGGTTTACTGAGCTGATTTACTGGGGAATTATTGGACTTGGTTTATGTTAAGAAAATGTGATCTAGTGGTCAACATCCTGTTGCAGAGGCGGAACACAGCTGCTGCTTCTTGGTGTTTATGGGTCACTGCCAGAATTAAAAGTTTTCAAGGGATATAATCCAGAGGAGCAGGATGTCTTGGGATGACTGCACCTCCCAGTCCCCAAAGATGTTTTGTACATTTTATACATTCTTAGCACAGCAATTTCCAAAACTAAGTTAACCATTTAACTACCTTATTCTTTTCCCAAATCAGCAGAGGCTGTCAATTTTTCTGTCTACAGAGGAAGATAATATTTGAAGACGTTACATGTATCATTACGGTTAGGACTGGGATAAAATTGCCCATGAATCTCTTCTTAAATTGGWACTTCAGGCACTGCTGTCCAGGTGTTGAGGAAGTCTTGCCAGAATTTTTGTATGCTTGTCAGCAAGGATTTGGATTTTGAATGCAGTGAAACCTTGTCCTAGTCCTACCTGGGCAAGTGCTTTTTCATGTGAAGAAAAGCATGTTGGAGCTCTTTCCCTGAGAGCTTACACTTACCCCTCCCTGCACCCATGTGAAAAGAGGTGGGAGACTTCATCAGGTTTAGGTTTTCCTTGACTTGTGTGCCCCAAGAGTGGGAGCGGCTGTTTCTGGGGTTTGTGGCTTAGAGCAAATGTCCACYGACAAAGGAAGTACAGAGAGTCAGAGATGATGCTTTTGAAAGGGGAGCTGGAAGCCAGATTCATTAGAGCAGGATAAAGCGAATTCAAAGCTGATTCCTTTGAAGGAGTAATTTTCATTGTCTTTGTACCATGGGKTGTGCAGGCCTCTTCAGCCCCGATGTTCCTGGCAGTCTAGTCCTGTTCCTTTGGTGACAGGAAGGCTACAATTTCCTCCTGTTTCCTTGCTTGTATCTTGTGTTAATGATTGTTGGAGACACCTTTGAGATGACCTAAAATTAACTGAATGGTATTAGAGAGAAACAAGAATATTCTCAGTCTTCCACGCAAGGATATTTTGAAAGCCTCTATGACATTGTCTGAATACTTTATGTGGGATAAATATGTATACACAACATATTTAACTGATGGATTGAAAATAAATGATCCAGGATCTCAAAAGTGCTCTTAACTTATTTGTTGCTGGTACCTGGGCTGGTAAGGAAGAAAAACTGTAGATTGAAAGCCCCAATATTTGGAATGTGTTTGGGCCTCACAGTTGATGCATAGATATGGAGCCTATACTTTATCATAAACATCTACATAAATATTCTTGTTCTCCTAGAGATTAATATGATGTAGAGTGAAAGAGGTGATGGAGATCCTATCAGAGGACTCTCTGCTCGCTTGCACTTGGGGATTGACTTCATGCTCCATAACTGAAGACCAATGACAAAGTTATTATATATAAGGGCTCTAAATATTTGACAAAGTTATTATATATAAGGGCTCTAAATATTTGTTGTTTAATGCAGGCAAAAGCAATGTTTCTTAAAAAAAAATATACCAAATCATTGGCTGCTAATCTTATTCCAATTTCAATACAAAATTGTCTTATTTCCCCTTTTGTTATAATTATTTCTATCCCTCTCTCAATGCATCTATCTATCTATCTATCTATCTATCTATCTATCTATCTATCTATCTATCTATCTATCTTATATTATTCAAATTCTTTTTCCTGACTCAGAACTTCTAAGCCCAAGAACAACAGGAGTGTAACTGTCTGCATTGTGAAGCTGGTAAAGTGAAGCACAAAGGAATGAAACTCTTACCCATGATCATACAGAAAAGGTCATAACACAGTGAGGAGCTGAACTGAAGTTCAGGATCTTTGACCACTATGCTGCTCTCTGCACATCTGCTGAAATACAACTTTTCAGTTAATTAGAATTCCAGAGATTTGTAGAGGAGAATTCCACTGTAGAGAGCTTGGGTTGCTAAAAGGCAAACTGCACTGAACAAAAGAGTACAGGTGTGGGGATGTCTGTGAAGAAAAAGGTRTGTGGACATCAGGAGCAGGATGGGCTCAGTCTGTATGAAGAATTTTAGAGTGGCAGTGGCAGAAAAGGGGTCGTGCAAAGGAGGAACAGCAAAAACCAGTGATGGATAAAGTAGAATTGAACTGTTGAAKGTGGTGGTGACCTTAACTTGGATGTTTTCTCTGTCAAAAGAGATGTAAACCAGACCTCTGGGATGGCTGTTTCAGGAGGCTTCTTGGAGAGAAGGTAGAGCTGTGACAGGGTAGATCAAGGGTAGATCTTAGCTTGGCTGGTTAATACCTTGAGGCCATGGGATTACAGTGCTTGTGCCATAACTACAAATGAGATTTTGGTGGTTGGAATGGGTGTCCCTGGGAATGGTGGGGTTGGAGAAATGCAGCAGTGGTTTCCCCTTATACTCTTGTAGTGCYTGTGGCTTTGCAGAAAGAAATTTTGAAGTGGCTTACAGACTGCAGGGAGATGATCTGGTGAAGGAATAGTGGTCAAAGAAGTCAGAAGAATTTCTAAGTTCAATTACAATTTTACAAAACTAAAACAAATTTGTTTCAGAGAAATAAAAAAGCCAGAAAATGTGCTTTTACCATTGATCAAAATTTCAGAGCAATGAAGTAAATGATCTGTGGGAAATGTTTCAGTGACTTTAAAAACTGCTTTATGAAATTGGCTGCTTTACTTGGACATGAATTTGGACGTAGAAGGTTGCTACTAAATAACTGAAATTTAAACTTCATTTAATTTTGGATACTGCCTTGCTATTTGGAAAATATTAGAAACATTAGAAGAAATCCATACTGAGGAGAAAAGCAAAGACCTTGAACTTGAAAAACCAGAATCGAAGCAAGAAACAGCAGGACAATCACAGTGCACAAGGACCAAGTAAAGATAAGGAGAGAAGGACAGTAAACTTGACCACATAACAAACTCCAAAAGCTTCTTCCACAGCCAGAATAATAATTACTCTTTCAGTATAAAAAAAAAATTCTCCCATAGAGAGCCAGGCTAGATATGGGAGTTGCAAGTGTTTTGTACATCGAATTCCCAGTTAACAGGACTGTGGCTGGCTGATACTGTCTTATCAAAAGGTCATTTCTGTTCCCATGGGGTTGACTGTAGCTTCCAGTGCAATCCAGACCCTGCAAGCCAGAGCAGAGTGGAGCAGCTGGCTGGTTTCCCCAAGGTCAGCCAGCTGAAAAAGAGAGCTGCCTCCTGGCTGGGTTCCCAAGGCCGGCTGGCTGAAGAGGAAAGTACAAGTGGGAAAGTGAAGTTGCATCAGCTCCTCCAATAGAACAGATTATCTAAGAGTTTAAGCCTCCCTGAGGCCTTGAAATAATTGTGATTTTKCCATATTTGATGGTGGCCAAATCATGACCTTGCTATGTTCTGAGAAGGGTGAGTAAGTGAATGTAAGAAGCCTCCTTGTTTATTGGGATGAACACTTTGTGTTGCAGGAATAATAGTGGTGGCTTCTCCTCCTTTCTGTGCAAGCAAAATGTGTACAAACTCCAGTTATTACTCATTCCTCTCCTCTCTCTWATGCCCTCTTGAGTTGTGCAGAGTCAGAGGGCTGTGCTGAGGAAACTGCAGATACCATTTAATTTCTTATGCAGAGCAGAGAACTAGCAGAGGCCAAATTATTTGCTGCCCAGCTCCATTGTCAAAAGGCCTTCACTACTAGTAAGATCTCTTTAAGCAGCTGCTGAAGCCCCAGGAGAAATGAAGATRTGCTACAAATTACGGTGTCGAAGCTCAATGCCACCACCACTGTCAGAGAAAAGCAACACCTCATCTCCATTTCCAAAAGCAYGGCAGAGCAGAGCTTTAATCTGACCAGATGCAAATATTTACATTAATGTTTGGTGGTGTAGCAGCATGCCCTGCTTCATAAACTGACAATCAAAGAACAATCAGGAATAGCTGTCCATCCTGAGCAGCTTGAAAATTGCACAGGTTGTCATCCTCCTTTAACTTGCAGCAAATTTCTAGATGAAATTTATTATTTTCCAGAAGGAAGAGCAATTCAAAAAATGATGAGACCTAACCTCAGCTGATCAGGTTTTATTAAATTTCAAATTCAACATTATGAAATGTACCCTCTACACGTGTAGATCAGGCAYAGTGATACCTAATAAAAGTGAAGGATTGCTAGAGAGATTATCTTTACAAGACATTTTCCATTAGGAAAGAAATTCTTATCCCTCAGACAAAATGAGCTTGTTTCACCTTTAAAAGGTGTATGAAAAACTAGCTGAGGCTTATTCACCARCTCTGAGGTGAATATACCCTCAGAAAACACCTCATGTTTGAAAATTGCCAACCATGATATTTTAATTAATTTAATTTAAATATTATAAAAGTGATGATTCAAAAGGATTTGCACGCTCTGACTTACCCTGTTACCTATGGATTGACCTAAGGACTAGCCAAAATCAGGTAAAAGATTTTAAAGTATTTGGTTTTGTTAATGCTAATGCAATTCAGTTTTAYATCCCATTAAAATGTGCTAATTACCCCATTTTCTAACATCTTTCATGAGGATACTCCTTAAATAGGTGTATAATATCCTTAAACAGAAACAGGTTAAAGTTTATTTTACAGTCAAAGGTCAGTAACCAGACCACTGGATTTGGTATATGTAAAACATCAGAATGCTGAATGGATCTTAAATAATTATTTTAATGGGTGCATAAAGTAAATCTGCTTTGTTGCTTTATTCCCCTGAAAAATTAAGGACATGTTTTCATTGTAGGAATTAGAATTCAACAAACAACTCTGCTAATGTAGTAAAGGAAGGTATTTCATACAAATTAGTCCWCAGGGAAATGAAGTGAATAGTGAAGAATTTCCATGGACTAACCTAGGAATAAGGCCATTCAAWCACCAAACAAAGCATACAATGGTATCTTTCTCCCTCCTGTTCTGCCTCTCCTTATCCCCTCTCTCCCCAGGCCACTCTCCACCCTCACCTACTTTCCAAAACGAAGTATTGTAAAACCATCAAAAGGGATTCAGTGAGAAACCACAGCAGGTACACAGCTGAGGGCACTGGTAAGAGATCCAGTGAGCAAAAATGAGATAAACCTTTCAKCTAACTGTGCCTAATAATCTATTAGTGTAGGAGKAGGTTGGTACTGGGAYTATTTCTAGTTTGGGAATTTTTGCATGTTTACTGTATTTGTTTTTAAGTTGCAACACCTTTTGTAATTCCTGTAATTTGGGAATTTATGGTGGCAGTAACTATTATAATATTATGGGTTGGTGATTCCTGTCTGGTCATAGCCAGTGAGCATACATATTGTAAAGCTGGTGTTACAGAGGTGTCTGGGTTGGTAAACACAGCAGCAAGCATGAGGTGGAATACTGGACCATCTTTTTATTTTCTGCAGGGTATTCTTACACAATTATATGKAGGTATTGATGTGGCAAGACTTTGACAGTTGTCCTTATTCTTTCAAAATGTTGAAAGGGTTTAGTCCTATCTATGCTGATCTGCTATTCTATGCAAACCTGGGACACATCAGAGCTGGTCATCCATGCAGCTTCATTTCTATCTTTAATGTATGTCTTACAAATTTGTGTGACCTACTAAGGCTGTAGCTTTTAAGTTGATTCTAAAATTCTTGTAAGTAGTTTATAAAATATTTGTAGTACCTGCAAATCACTGAGGCTGGAAGGGATACCTTAGGATTGTCTAGTCCCGCCCCCGCCCCAAACAGAATCAGCTGGAGCAGATGCCCAGGGCCATGACCTTTTTGGGTTTCAAGTATCTCTGAGAACGGGGACTTTGCAACCATTTTGGGCAGCCTATTCTGGTATTTGATCATGCTCACAGTAAAAAGGTGTATGCTCAGGTGTRATTTTGTATCTTTTAATTTGCTCTCATCCTGTTTATGGGCMCCATGGAGAAGAGCCTGGCTCCATCTYATTTGTTCTCCCCATGATGTATTTATAAACATCCGTAGGTGCCCCCAACCCCAAATCATCTCTGTCCCAGGCTGMACAGATGCAGCTCTCTCAACCTTTCCTCATATGAAAGATGTYCCACTTTCTTGCTCATCAGCAGTGAGTACTTTTGAAGCATCACCCGATTCATCAATGTATTTGAGAGTTTTCAGCTGATAGGCCAATAGCAGTTTCCYCATCTTTTAATGTCTTTTAATTTTAGTCTTTAAAATGTAATCAAATTCAATACTCTCAGAATAACAGTCCTTTGATTTAATGACTATGAATAAGAAAATTTAAGTGTGYAATTACTTTAACAGAGTTAAAATATTCTCTCTTTTTTCTCCTCCCCTCTTCTTCTTGCCTTTCTTTTTCTTTTCGATAATGTTCCTTTTAGATTGTGGGTTGTGAGGTCCTGGCTCTGTATTTTTGAATCAGCCTAGCTCACCTCTCTTCTTTCTACTTTCCATGTGCTCCTTAGGGAAGGTCAGTTCAATGTCCCTCTTCCATGCACCTTTTTTCCTTGCTAGGACAGTTCTTTTTCCCCCTAAACTTAGTTGGGTAGAGATCTTTAGAGCAAATATTATTTACTGCATGAATTTATTCTGTTTTACAGGACCCATCGTTCGACGGCATCAGATCCCACTTCCACCTCCTAACCAAGATCAGTTCTATACTATGTATCATTTCAATATCAACACAGAAGTAACCTTTTATGGCCGAAAATACAAGATTATAGATTGTGACCTGTATACAAAAAACTTCCTGAGGAAGATAGGAATCAGAGTAAATCCCCCTGCAAGCCGTCCGGATGATCCCTACACCACAATGCGGGAACAGGTCAGAGGAGGCAGCAGTAGTGAAAACTTGGTTTGAATAAAAGTACAATTGCTATTAGTAACATCCATTAAATTATTTCTTTGACAGCAATTGTTACTATTTCAACATAGTAAATCCCAAGAGAAAATCTGTTTTTAAAAATTTTGGTGTGTGACTCATTGTACTGTATAAATAATTTTCTCCTGAAGTGTTCACACACCTTTTAAAACAGGACCAAATTAATAAGAAAAATAATATAAACCTGGAAGTATTAAAAAGAAAAAAAAATGTACCTAGTACATGTTCTACTGTAATTTACGTGTTCTATCTATGATTTTGCTTATTAATTTAATGATATTAAACACTTAAAAGTCTTTAAAGGAAGATCTAATTGGAATTGTGTATCCAGCATACCCATGGCTTCCTGCAGACACCCCTCTCCTATTCATATGTTATCTTTCATCTCTACCCCTACATGTTTTTAACAGGTCTTTGTGTATATAAAGCAAATTCTTCTGCCATACAGAGCCCAGTGCTCTGCAGTTTTAAGACTTGTGAGATTTTATTTGCTTCCCTCTTTTGTGAGTGTGTGAGAACACATATGTACAAATATACACATCTCCAAAAATCTCACCTCACAGCTCCTAGATACTATGTGGATTCCCTTTGGCTGGATTTGGGATTTTTTTTTTTTTTTTTTTTTTTTTTTGGGAGTAGTACAAAGAGTGATGTTTTCTGTCAGGAATTATGACATTCCTTTCAGTTCTATTTTTCTTGATTAATATGAGTGCAGATCACTCTTAGGACTCTTGGCCCATGATGTGCAGCCTGTTGTGACAGATCCAGCCTGGTCCTCTGAAAGCAGCTCCCTGTGTCTGTGGCATCCTTAGTGCTCCCAGTGAGAAAACTGCTGTAGGTCTCAGCAGCAGGAAGGTGACCACAACTGAGATGTGTAGGACAATTTCCATGTCTCTGAGGCACTCTCAGGCTGACATTTGGTTTCTCTTCATGCTGCCTGTCCCTCAGTGAAAAGCAGCATTTGTAATACATCTGGTTCTGTGTTGTGGTGACTCAGCCTGGCCATGGGTTTCTTTTCCCTTACTCAGTCCCTGTAGGTAACAGCTGTGTATATAAACACATGCTGAGTTGTCTTGATACTGTCAGACTGTGTCAACATTATGTATGGCACTGCTTAACTTGCTTAGATTTTATTTTTTTTTAAACAACAAGCAAAACATTCAGGTTTGGGGCATATCTGTGCTTAAAGAGAATGGAGAGGAGAAAAAGTTTAGAGCTGTGCTTAAAGAGAATGGAGAGGGGAAAAAGGTTAGAGCATCAGAAGACAAAAAAAATTACTAAAATCTGTGTCTTGATGTTCTCAGTTGCTGAGGAATTACAGAAAAGTTATTTAGCAGATTCTGGCTGCCTTATGCTTTCACTTTCTTGTGCCTAATTTGTGGAAGGTTTTTTTTTTTTTGATTGCTCTGGACTACTCTGAGCAAATTGGTTTTCACTGGACTCCAAATACATGGCCAGAAACTGAAGGTATGAAGGAAGGTAAGGAATGTGATGGCATAGAAAACGAGACCAATAAAAACGCAGTAAACCACTTAGATTCAYATCTCAYRGAGTCACAGAATYGTTTAGGTTGGAAAAGACCTCTGAGCTCCTGAGTCCAGCCTTTGACTGATGCTCACCTTGTCAACTGGACCATGGCACTGAGTGCCACATCCAGGTGTTCCTTGAGCAYCTCCAGGGATGGGGACATCATCAYCTCCCTGGGCAGCCTCTTCCAGTGCTTGGCAGCCCTCTCCATGAAGAAATTCACCCTGTGTTGTTGGAGATGGTATCCCATGCATGGTGATAACAATGTTACTTTGTTTTGTGGCTGTGTTTGATTGCTTATGGCATCTTCAAGGGGCAGGAAGGAGGAAGAGAGCACTGGGGAGGTAAATAACTAAGTTCTGGCATATATGCTTGGAATGGAAAGAGTGCTGCACATCAGCAGGGTCATTGGCCAGAAAAACTTGGTTCTACTCTCCTTATTTTAACATTTGATGCTCTGAAAGAATGGGCCTTTTCCGTCTTATATAAAATTTTAAGGCCAGAAGACTTATTAGTGGATAAAGAGAAATTTAGACAATGATATAKACTACCCAGAGTCAACATTTTTATTCTGTTCACATTTCAGCTAATACTGTCTCATTCATATCCGCCACCATTCTTTGGAAGAAATTTTGTAGATGAGAAGGATTGTCTTGTCCTTTTTAATGCACTTTCAACATACTGATTTTGACTTAGAGAAAACACTGTTCTGGTCACCATTTATATATGTGAACTAAGAGTACATAAACACAGTCCTTGGTTTGGATCATCATCCTGGGATCCAGTTTAATGCAGTGCTACTGGCTTTGCAGCAACCATGACTGCAGGAAGCTTCTTGTCATAGGTCACATCAGCTGGAAAGAATCTTTAGTTGAAAATTTGCATTCAGATCTATGGGTGTGTTTTGAGAGGAGAACAAACATACCCAGTACTTGCCAACTGTGTAATAGGTAACATAGTTAATAACCTATGTTTTAAAGTTGGAAGAAAGAAAATACCAAAGGGAAAAGAACAAATTAATTCTTAATACCACATTATCTATTAGAAATAATTTTGAAGGAAGTTAATCAATAAGAGTGATGCTATTTGGATTTGTAGTCRTCTGATTACCATGGGCAGTTCATTGAAAATATGAGCTGCACTGTAAATAATTTAATAATTGTCTGATCTAAAGTACCTTGTTGCAAGAAAAACAAGCATTAAAACCAATCCAAAATTGTTTCTATACATTTTCTGAGGGCACAGCAACCATGTAAATATTTCTTTGATAATGGCATAAATAGTGTTTCATTTGTTGTAATAACRCAGTTCCATTTGAAAATCCTAAACCTATATTCTAAGGTTAAACAGTACCATATAGTCATGATCCTGTTTTTAAGAGCAAATAATTAAAATTATGTTTCTCTCAATTTCTCCTTTACCAGCGGCGTAAAATGAGCACAAACCCTTTACGCCCTTATATGCGCTTTGACACTTTGAAACAATTTCTGGAGTTTGATGGACAAGTTTTAGGGTTTTCTTGTGTGTGGTATGACTCAGARTCCCATGTTTATGGCCCACGAGAACTTATTCTTCGTTATTATTTGTCTGATGATACTATTGATGTAAGAGAAATTTTACCAGACAACTCAGGCCGGGATGTTGTTCCATATTTCCTCAAAAGAGCTAAGCTTCCAAAGGTAAGGAATGAAAATTTCAATGTAATTCAAATTCTTCCACTAATTAAGAAATATTGAATGCCTTGTTTTGGAAATCCTSTATTGGGATTATAATGATATTTAGATAGTGTTTTCAGAGTATTAATTGTAATTTAGGTTTTACACACATATTCATGTAGCAATGATGGAAAAGTATCTTTAGGCTTTCCATCTTTAGGCTTTTCCATTAATAAATGATGGAAAAGTATCTTTAGGCTTGTCATGCTTAAACTAAAAGGAGCATTTAGGCAGAGAGATGTTTCTATGATTTTCTTTCTCCTATATGAGTGTATTAAGGTAACTGTATTAATAAAGCTCTGCAATAATGGAAGACAAGAAAATTAATATTGATAAGCTTATGTAAAACTGAGGTGAATTCAGATTTTATCTATGACAGATATTTACAGCMTTTGGAAATGTCAGTTTTAGTATTCTCTAAAATTACCTCTTTGTAGCAAATCTAGTGTGCTTTCTTAAAATTGAGTTTCTGGGTTTGGGACCTTAAGCTAAGCCAGTTAAAATCAATAGGAATCCATCAATAAGCTTTGTTGAGCATTAATCATGAGAAAGGCTCCACTCAGAGAAATCTTCGAAGGGTTTGTGTCCTCTGTAACCCATTATTATTATAAAATTRCTGATCCGGATACACTTCTGTATCACTCCAGACAGATCCTGATGATAGAATATCATCAGATGGAACAAAATACTGGGAGTCTCTTCCTCCTTTCCTTCTAACACTGATAATCTATTTGTGGTGCTATTGATGTATATGAGATTTTATAGTAAAAACCTACCAGCAAAATACTACACTTTTTATCCTATGGCATCCTGTGTTCTGAGATGTTGTTTTAGGAGTGGCTCTGTGGTATCAGACCCCTTCTACCACTGAAGTGCATGTTGCAATTTAAAGGAMTGGCTTTTTCCTCTGGAAATTTTGAGAAGGGCAGCAGAGTCAAAAGTTGGGGTGACAGGGAAGGTGGTAAGACAAAACAACTAGTTTTGATTACCCTGCATCAGCAGCTAATAATTTTTTAAAAATTAACATACTGGTATTAAGTTTATATATAAATATGAATATAAATATAAATAACATAATAACATAAACATAAATAGAAATAAAGCCTTTAGAGCAGATGTTCATAATGATGTGGTACTTTGGGTGTGCTGACCTTTGCTTTCTGTTTGCTTCCAAGAGAAAGGAGACTTTCCACTTTGATAGAGAGTAAGATTCTTAATGCTTCTTCTGTCATATGTACTGGCTTTTGGAATAAACCATGGCATTTAGGAATAAACACTGGCTTTTGGATTTGGTGGTAGAACCTTAAAATTTACTAAAAATTCTCCCAGGAAAATACTACAATAACAGCCAGCGCATAACAAACCTGCTGGTTCTAAGGTAACAGAGTTCTCTTTCTTCACTGTCACCCGTGCTGCTGAAGAGTTGGTCTCTTTTCTTGCAGAATGCTCCCACTGGTCTGTATCATCCAGGCACCATCACCAATCAAACTCTTCTCAATGTGTTGGGAAAGTCAGAAAGAAACAAAGGCTATTACATCCGGGATATTCTGCAGGTCAGATGTTGAATGTCTCCAGCTGTTGAATATCTTTACAGTAGTTTCTGTAAATTTCTCGGGTTGTTATCCTCTACAACAAAGAGAGTTATTTATAGAATTGTGCTGCCACTGGAGAGTAGCTCAAATGAAAACTACTGAGATTTACTGTATGTAAATCCCACATTTATAGAAGTGAAGGAGCTTAACATGGGATGAAATATTCTTGCCAATGGACTTTGAAGGCTGTGTGTTAAATCACTCACACTAAATKACCTGGGTTTTAAGAAAGGTGTGATTCTGAGATTTATGGAACTGCTGTATAAATGTTCCTTCTTTTATTAGACAGGAGCAGTGCGTCAGGAATTTTACAAAGACAGTGATTTGAGAATAGGGGCAGTAATTAATGTTTGGGGAAGGCAAATGTTGCTCTGTGATTGTGATGAATTCACTAAAGAACATTACAGAAAAAAGTTTGGAATTGGTAAGTAGTGATAATTATCCTTTCCTTATGAGCATTTTTATACYTTTAAGTCTTAACAGAGCTGTCTTCAAATTTTATTGCTGACAAAACATGTTCATTAAAACCTTTAGCAATAACAATGTGTTGTAGGCTGTTAGCAGCAAAGCAGTAATTTTGCAGGTAATCCAGAAGGCTTTTTCATATATTGCTCCATTGAAAACTAACACAAAATGTACATATTTTGTTCCTAATGCCTCTATTTGAAAACCACAGTGACAAAATAGTCACATGGATAGACTGCCATTTCTTCTTCTCTTTCCCCCTTCCAATAGCTGTRTTTGCAGTCAGAAAATAACACAGAGCATGTAGTAAGTGGGTAAGTGGAATGAGCTCARTTATTCCCCCTTATACTACATTTCATTTTATGTGGATGTCAGAACTCTCACATAATAAGATTTTCTGACATGACAGTTTTACTCTATCACATTATTGGATTTTACAATGCAGTTTTGTGTGTTCTGTACTATTAGAGTGTGTATSCTGTGAAGTTCCAGCACTCAATTCTGGAAACATTCAGCAACTATGTCCCTTATGGAAAAGCATTTTGGAAATGAGTAACAATAGGGTCTTTCATTTATCTGTCTTTGAATGTCCCCAGTCAGACTTGCTAATGCTTCCATCATGGACATCTTCCTTCAAAAATGACTTAGTTATTTTCTGGCAGTTTATTCATTCAGTGAATATAGCTGAGCATCTGACTATTCAGAGATGGTTGGAAGAATCCTATGGCCTTTCCYCGCTGAAATAAAACACCTGAGCACACTATTTCTGTTACCTTGTGATYGATAGAGGGCATGTGGGGATGAGAGCTTGTCTGTTGCATTGGGGGAGCTAAATGGTGTAGCACTGCCATTCAATCACTGAATTTCTTAATTAGCAAAATATTTCTCATTAGKACTTTTTCAATAATACCTTGGCATGTCTGTATCAAAGTAAACCTGTTCTTGCCAGTGCGTGAGGAAGCCATGTTCAATAACCATGGTATTATCTGTAATAATAACAAATTTAACTCTAGAGATACAAAACAGGGGGTTCTGCTCGGAGAATTTCTTCAGCCAAGACCACTGCTGCTTTCTGGCAGCAATATCCTCTGTCTTAGCAAATTATCCTGAACAGAGAATGGGGATTTCTGACTCAGGGCAGGAAAGAAATGAAATGCAGCTGACCATCCTGGATCAAACAAGCAGTAAGGCCCTTCCCTTCTCTAATGCTGGCTCAGTAATTATTGGTTATGTCTCTGGATGTTAAAGTTAGGTGGTTTGCAAGTTAGGGGAAATCAGAAGTTGCTGATGTGCAGAATTCTAGAAAACTGGGACTGTGGGTGGTCTAGTCTGTTCCTGTTCTCCAGTAAAGGTATTTGCCTCCAGAGGTATTTTGTCCTAACATCATCATTAAAAATGCTGCTTGAAAGCTACTCTGAAGCTGGTTTATGTAAACTGAGAGTAATTTTTTTCTCTTGCCTCTGTTGTGCTTGGGGAACAACTGCTCAGTATCCTCTTTTAATAATRACCTTGTACGTATTTGAACACTATTCCAACACAAAGCGTTACCACTGTTCCAACACAAAATGTTACTCCCCTGCCCCCATCTCAGGCCATTTGCTGCTAAGGGAAAACCTTTCAGTCTTTCTCCATAGTCCATTATTTTCTGTCTGTGATAATTTTTCTCAGTGCTCTCTCCAGTTTCTCTGCCTCCTTGACACCAAACACACAAAGATGTGCTCTAGCTGAGACCTTTGGGAAACTGGGAAGTGTTTTACACATACCTTTAAGGATATATGATGGCAGAGACTCTGGCTAACATGGAAAACCATTCATCTTGATGCAACCTGTCTTGTTCAGAGAAAATACTTTCTTAGAGCTAAGGGATTTACACACTTTGCTGTAAAATTCTTGCCTGCTTTCCCCACAAGGATTAAAAAATGTAGGTATGACTTTTTAACTGGAAGGGACCAGGGGTAGAATCAGGGTAGGTTTTTGCTTAGAAGCAGGTTTTTAGACAGAATTAGTGAGTGTTCACCTTTTACTCTTAGTGAGTTACACATTTTGTGTGTCTGTGGATGTACAAGGTACTCTCAGTGGGCTCAGTCCCACGAAGTGCTCAGAATTCCACTCCAATCCAATTAAACACTGGAACAGACTTAATTGCAGCTCCAGTCCAGGAAGACCATTTACTTGAAAGAGTAAGCAAGTGGATAAATGAGTTCTTACATCAGGGCACAGTTCTCAGCACCTCATGGCATCAATCCAGCTGTTTTGTTATTGTGTTTTTACATTACTCCCCTTCAATTTATATTATTCTGCCAAAGCTATTATAGAGGCTGACATTTATTTTTGACACTGCAGTTTCAGCACAAGTTCCTTGCCCATGGRTCTTGACTTTTTAGGAGAATTAAGAGTAGTTTAGATTTCTCTTGAGAACATGATATATATCTAATGTGGGGTTTGCCCGGTACAATATGTGAAAAGCAGAGTTTTTCCATGAATAAATGTAGCTAATGTTCTTCAGTAGGAAGCTGATGACATTACTGTCACCTGGAAGTACTGTGAATGAATGCAGGAGAAAATGCAAGAGAAAATGAATTAATGTGATATTAACCTGTCCAGACCTCATAGTACAGCCTCAAAAGAGGAGAAAGAGACTCTGTAGCCGCGTAGGTGTTGTGGTCATCCTGCTGAAATAGGAAATAGGCAGATGTGCAGTGGGGAGAAGCTGAAGCTGATACTTGTCCTTCTCACTTATTACAGTATCTTAGTACAAAGTRTAAAGTATTCTTTCTTAAATAACAGATTACTCAAGATGGAACAAAACCARTAAAATCTGGTTTTCTACTGCTTTTTCTTCCCTGTCCCGGCACCTCCCAAGCCTGGCTGCTGACCCTTTTCACAGCACCCTGCAATCTCTGTCCTGTCCCAGCTCTCCACCCCTCCCACCCCCTCATTTCTCAGGCTCTGTCCCTGACCCTCTGCCGGGGCAGAGCCGTGTGCTGTAGGCCAGGCAGCTGCTCCTGGATAACAGGGATAACAGCTGACTCCTTGCTTTCCCCTCAGCGGGGGTATTAAAGCCTGCTGCCAATTTTCACTAGGCTCGTCAGAGGTCAGTGTCTCCGGTGTTTAACCTCTCCACTACACGTGTTGGAGACTGAGCAGCAGCTTCTCAATATGCTTGTGAATATGCAGGTGCCTTTTCTTTTCTTTTTTTCTTTTTTTTTTTTCTTTTT